ATATTTAGAAAAAGTATCTTTCCTTATGTTTTAGTTATTTATTTTTTGAAGAGTTTTTTGTTTTTAAATTTGTTATTTGGTTGGTTTTAAAACCACCTATCTCAGGCAGAATCAATATTATCAAAATGGCCATACTACCAAAGTGCTATAAAGATTTAATGTAATTCCTATAAAGATCCCAATGATGTTATTCATGGAAATAAAAAAAGCAATCATGAAATTCATTTGGAAAAATACTCTCAGAATAGCCAAAGCAATCCTTAGTGTGAAAACAGACATGAAGACCAATGAAACAGAATAGAAGACACAGAGACACACCCACACAAATACAGTTATCTCTTCCTAGACAAAGGTACCATAAACATACAGTGGAGAAAAGATAGCCTCTTCAATAAATGGTGCTGGGAAAACTGGAAATCTGTATGTAATAAAGTGACACTGAACCCCTATATCTTACCCTGCACAAACTTAACTGTAACTGGATCAAAGACCTAAGCATTAGACCAGAGACCCTGCACTTACTAGAAGAAAAAGTAGGTCCAACTCTCCAACATGTCAGCTTGGGAACCAAATTTCTCAACAAGAATCCTAAAGCACAAGAAATAAAATCAAGAATCAATAAATGGGATGGTATCAAACTGAAAAGCTTCTTCACAGCAAAGGAAACAATCAAGAACGTGTACAGAGATCCTACAGAGTGGGAGAAAATCTTCGCCACCAGTAACTCAGATAAGGCATTAATTTCCAGGATATACAAAGAACTCAAAAAAACCTAACACCAGAAAAATAAATAACCCAATCAATAAATGGGCAAAGGAACTGAACAAATATTTCACAGTAGAAGAAATATGGTCAAAAGAATATAAAAAATGTTCAACATCTCTAGTAATTTGAGAAATGCAAATTAAAACTACACTGAGATTCCATCTCATTCCAGCCGAAATGGCAGTTATAAAGAAAACAAATAACAATAAATGTGGGCGATGATGTGGGCCAAAAGGTACTCTCATACACTGCTGGTGGAACTGCAAATTGGTACAACCACTATGGAAAGCAGTATTGAGACTCCTTAGGAAACTTGGAATAGAACCACTATTTGACCCAGTTATCTCACTCCCTCGGTCTATACCCAAAGATCTTAAAATTGGTGTACTACAGTGATACAACCACATCCATGTTTATAGCAGCTCAATTCACAATAGCCAAACTACAGAAACATCCTAAGTGTCCTTCAATGGATGAATGAATAAAGAAAATGTGGTATATATACACAATAGAATATTACTCAGCCATAAAGAAGAATGAAATTGTGGATTTTCCAGTAAATAGATGGGAATGAAGAATATCATGCTAAGTGAAATAAGCCAATCCACAAAAAACAAAAGCTAAACATTCTGTATGATTTGTGGATGCTAACCCAAAACAAGGGAAGTTGGGGATGGGAATAATAGAAATCCACTGGAGTAGAGAAAGGGAAATGAAGAGAAAGGAGGGAGAGGAGAATAGGAAAGACGGATTAATTGGACATAGCTTTCCTAGCCTTGTATTTATATACACCAGGGTAACTCCACATCGTGTACGACCACAAGAGTGGGAACCTAAATAAAATGTTATACTTTATGTATGTATATTCTGTCAAAATACATTCTACTGTCATGAATAACTAAAAATAAAAATTTTAAAAATCTACTTATTCCATAGTGCCTAGAATATAACAGGTACTCAATAGATATCTGTGTGAAATATTTTGATATATTCTTAGTAGTTAGAGTCATTCATTGTTAGGGGGAGTTTACTGAAGGATCTGTAGATTCTCTGAAAGCCATCTTTTAAGAAAAACATTTAAAGAGGCCCATTTTCACTTGGAGATGCACTTAGTGACCTTTAAATGTGTCTTTTAGTTTTTTACTAATCAATTAGTAAATTTTTATTGAGCACCAGCTTTGGGGAAAGCCTTGTCATAGGGGACACAAAGGAAGATATAATCCTAACCTTTAAGGAGCTTCTAGGGCTGGGATGTAGCTCAGTGGTAAATTACTTGCCTTGCATGCCCCAAACCCTGGATTTGATCTACAGTCCCCCAACCCCGTCCCCCTGAAAAAAGACAAAATAAACTCAGAAAATAAGAAGCTTCTAGTATGGAAGGTAAAAGAAAGCAGGCAACAGGTACGAGACATGGCAACCATGAACACCCTGAGTAAGCAGTATAGACAACAGGCTCCAGAGGAGCCAAGGTGGGCAGAGGAGTGGGTGGGGGAGCTGGGAGGCATGCAGGACATTTGAGGGAGGACAGACACGAAGGCACTGAACTTGGATAGTCGAAGAGGAAAGAGAAAGGCAGCCAGGAGTATCTGCATGGCGAGGGCCAGCCAGCATGCAAGACGCAGAGTGCTGTAACAGACCTTTCTAAATGCAGAAAGGGCAATTTCCCTTGGGCCACTCTGTGTCACCATCATTTGATTTCTAACAATCTTTAGGCGTTTTGCTCTACTTTGTCTTCGTCCAAGAGTAGGTTGTGAACATATTAATCATAGTGTACACACAGAACAGAAAGCGTTGTCTGGCTTTCTTCCGACAGGCTTCCACACAAAGCTTCTTCCTGCCTCTGTTTAGAGTTGTGCCATGATTCAAGCACTCTCATTTTACCTAGATGATTTTATTGTTGGCAGAGAATACTACCATTTTCCCTAGTGACAATTATGAAAGCTATGTGTTGCAATAATCTTCAATACTTCAAAAATGTTTTCTATAATAATTTAAATAACTAGAAATCAGTGGTCTCAGAATCATAGCATTTTGTAGCTGGAATGGACCATAAAGGTCATTTATTCCAACTCTTCATTTCACAATGAAAAAAACAAGGCTTTCAGGGAAAGTTGAGTTTTGCCCCCAAATTATACATCCAATAAATGACAGGTCAAGGACCAGAAAACCCTGACCCAGTCCATTGCCCATAATGCAGGACATGCCTTTTGTGCTGCCTTGGTTCCCTGGATCCTGCTGGCCACGCTCCCTTGGCTGGCTCTCTATCAGGGCTGTTGGGTAGATCCATGCACCCCCATCTCACTGCAGGAGACAGTCAGTCCCCAAGCTCTCAACTTCTGGGTACGGCCCCCTGGCATCAGTTTTCAGAAAGCTCTGGGAAACCTATTGTTTGACTGACTGCTTGATGGATTGATTCATATCTTTAAGAACAGCTTGGAGACCACAGGGAGAAAAAGACATGACTTAGGCTGCTCCTCTTTTCTAACTTCTTTGAAGCTGGGATGAACTTTATTATCTTTATTATTACCATTACTACATACATAGTTTTATCTGATGATGTTGATAGCTTTATAGGCTCCATGATTTCAAAGGGCTCATCCCTTCTTAATTGGGGATAAAACCTGATCCAACAGTGACTCCACATAATTCCATAGCTGGTTCAGGAAAAAAAAAATCAGCTGTTACTGCTTTTTCTGTTTATTCTAAAGGAATAGTCAGTGTGGAAAACTGCAAAAAAAATCTTCCCCCAAATCACATTTATGGATTCAAAGCAGAGGTGTGCCCTGCTCTGAGTTACTCCATGATGTACAGGACAGCAGTTTTCAAGCTGTGCCAAAACCTTTGCTACTCTGTTTTGTAAAGCAATAGTTTGCCATAAAAGCTACTCCATTTTGAGTTTAAGTGCTGAGGTGGAATGACTCTATACCTTGTTTGCATAAGTGAATAGCCACCACCTGCCTAGCACAAACTGATAAGGCATAAACTGATAAATTCGTGCTAATGAGAATGACCACCTGTGATCTTATCAAATTAGTCAGAAGCACATGGATGCATGGGCATATGAAACTCATTGGAAAAACAAGCCTATTGGACACACCAGATCACTTGATGATGCAATGCTCTCCCTTGACACCCATAAAAGGAGGAGTACCCTGAGACTGGACACAGCTGCACCCTGATCCCTTCACCTAGTCGCTTGTCATGAGCTTTGCCCAGGAAAACTGCCACAGCAACAACCTCTGAATCTCTGTCCTTGGACTTTAGCACAGTGTGGTTTCTCCTGCTTGGGATGACCATGCAAGTCCCACTTGAAGCTGACATCCCAAGCTGACACTGTGAAACTGCTGTCCATCTGAGTAGGCTTCTGTGTTTTGACAGCTCTGCACCCTGAACAAGTTCTCTGGCTGGTTTGTAATCTTATCTGACCACCTACAGTGACTCTTTGGGAATAAACAATGTTTTCTTTGCCCTTAGTTCAGCCTTCTAAATGCCTGTGTCTGCCTTAATCCTTTCTAATCCTTTCCATAACATATATATATATATGAGAGACTTGGTTGTTATAGATATTAGAAATTATCTATAATTGGAATTGGCTGGAAAAAAAGAATCTGTGATTGACTGGCTTATGACTACCAGGTGACCCACAAATATTCAGTGAACTGCCACTGATGAGAGTGGTGCAGCCTGTGAATTGTTATTCAATGAATTCTGACATTGTGGACAGTCACAAACATATTTGGTCTGTTAGTGACATAGCACACTGACAACAAAACCCATGGCCTAAAAAGTTGTCCACACGATAAATTACCAGCTGGTAAGCTTTCACATTCTGCAAAAGAGGGTTTATAAGGCTCTGAAGACTCCCATGCACCCAGTCACTTAGGGATAATGGGTGACTGCCAACTCCCAAAGGAACCAGATAAAGGGGTAGCACAGAACTGGACAACACTTTGGAACTATGATTTCCTGATTTTTCTGCATTTCCCCCTGCACTCCCTTCTGTGAGAGCTTTAGCTCTATGTTTAAAGAGTGATAGGATGATCATCTGAGAAAAAGAACCTTTGGTGAAACAGCTAGGGGTGGCTGCCTGACCAACCAATGGCTCATCAGTCTCCCCCATAAAGGATGGTGGTGAACTAACTATTCTCAGGCAAAAAATAAATCCCCAAGAACTCAGTGATAAGCATGACTTATATTCAGCAGTATCACACTTAACATGCAATCTAGTTAGTAACCTTTAACTGCTGTGCTCTTTGATGCCACTTGTCCTCAGGATCAATGGCAGCATTTTCCATCTCTTTGGCATTCTGAACAGACGTCTTGCCAGTTACTCTGATGGGGTAGTATATCTGAGAGGGTAAAACATACATAGCATGTTAACTGGGTTCATTTTAGTTTAGAGTCAAGAGACTCAAGTCTGTGCATTCTAGAAGGGTCCCACAGGGCTGGATTTTTTATTTTCAGTTAATTTCAAGGATTCCTCTGTAGTCTTCAGGGACCTGGATAATTCCCAAGAAAAATGGGAATAATCTTGCAGGCACTGAGGGAAATGTTTTCTCTTGCAGGCATTGAGGGGAAACTGGTGTTCTGAGGTCAAACTACTCCTTTACTTTAAATGCCATGCATACTCAGGAAACCCAATTTTAGACTAGATACATGAAGAGGGTACTGCAAGGAACATTTGATCATATCAACAGAACTGTGATGAAATAATACTACACAGATGCTCCTTGACTTACAATGGGGTTGTGTCCTGAAAACCTGTCATAAATTGAAAATGCATTTAATGTACCTCACCTACTGAACATCAGAGTTCAGTTTCATCTACCTCTAAGTATGCTCAGAACTCTTACATTAGCCTACAGATGAGTGAAATCATCTAACAAAGCCCATGTTACAACAAAGTGTTGAATATCTCATGTAATTTTTGGTATATCTCTTCTAATTTTTGGAATACTGTACTGAAAGTAAAATACACAATAGCTGTAAGCATATACTTTTGCACTATCATAAATTTTGTCAGGACATTTGTACTCCAAAATGATGACAATAGCAACAGAAATAACAATATCTAACATAACAACAGAATGCTCATGGTATGGCAGCAGTTGTCCTAAGCCTTTAACATAGGATGTATCAGTTAATCCTTGTAACAACCTTATCAGACATGTACTATAATTATTATTTTTGCTTTTCTTTGTGGTACTGGGGATTGAACCCAGGGGGCTCTATACATGCTAGGCAAGTGCCATGCATACCCACTAATTTTTATTGTTTATTTTGAGATGGGGACTTGCTAGTTTGCCCAGGCTAGCCTATTACTTGAGACCCTCCTGACTCAGCCTCCTGAGTTGCTAGGATTACAGGTGTGCACCATCATCCCTGGCAGGTATGTACTATTATTACTCTAATTTTTGAAAATTAGTAAACTAAGGTACAGAGAGATTGAGTAAATAGCCCAGGACCAACAACTAGTAAGGAGAACAGCCAGGTTACCTAATTCCGGAGCTTGCATTTAAACATTTTGCTAAGCTAACTTACTCATTAGAGATATCCTCCCAGACCTGCAGAATTTGTACTTCTGCCACTTAGTGAATTTGAATGATGTGGATCAGTGGTCTCTAAAGTCAACTTTACTTAGATATTAGGAAAACCTAGGGTGTGTTTAAAAAGTACTAATGCCCTAGTCCCCCCACAAGCCAGTTAACCTGGAAGTTTTGGGGGGTTGCTCCAGATAGCAGTGTATTTCTAAAGTTCCCTATGTGTTATTTTAAAAAGTAAGAAATGGTCTGAAAATTTGTCTAATTTGCAGTCAGACTTAGGAATAACTGATGGAAGGCAGACACATGGGGTTTCAGATCCCAAATTATTCAACGATGGGCTCTTTGTTGCCTCCATTGACTACTTATTTTAAAATAAGAAAAAAGGCTCTGTGTTATACGAATTCTAGCCATCAAGAATATAGTCCAGAAAGCAAACTTTTTCCTTTTCTTTCTTTTTTGAATGGGGCCTTTCTGTGTTGCCCAGGCTGGTCTTGAACTCATGGGCTCAAAATGATCCTTCCGCTTCAGCTGCCTGAATAGCTGGGACTATAGACACAGGCCACCACACCAACCCTGGTAGATGTCATCCACTTTCTGCCTCAATACATGCCTTATCTCCTGGCGGCATTACCCACTTTTCATGACTAGGACATGTTTAAAGATCAACCATGGGTTAGGGAAGAGAAAGGGACCTCTGCTTCATTCAGGATGAACACAGTATTCACTGAGCAACCCAAACGCCGGCTCTTCCTTACACAAGCAGAAATACATCTTTCCGTATTTTCTGTCCCTCTGTTCTTTGGAGAAGCACAGAGTGGCCATTCTCTGGTTCTTTGCCTGTAAATGCTGTCAAGTCTCTGCTTTTCTGGACTGAGGTAATTAATTCTTAAGTTTGGCTCCAGGCTTTGACGCTGTTCTGTTACATTTCCTCTGCTGGGCTGCCTAGCGTGACAAGAGACCAGCAGTGAGACTGGAAAGAGCAGGGGATGTGGAGTCTGTCAGCCTTGTGTTCAAATTCCCCCCCTGCAGCTTACTTTCACCTCATGCTTACAAAGTACAGCACTCAATAAAGAAAGAGGTAAAAAATATTTGTTAAATATTAAATCAAAGTAAATATTTGTCAATGAAGATAACCTCATTCCTGACCACTCTATGTGGCCTCTGTGGCACAAGGGACAACATCTTATTTCTTCGGAGTGTCACCTTATCTGTCCCTAAACTCTCTCTACTATTAAATAGCTATCACAATTACTGTGCTTACATACACGCTGTAAATAGATAAGGTGGCTCTCGGTGCTGTGGATGCTTAGAAGCTTAACGGTAGATCTGAAAGTGGGGAAAAAATAGTTTTTCCTTGAATTTTCATTCCTAAAATAAGCCACAAAAATGCACTATTTGGTCATGGAATTCTGATTAAAAGTGAAAGTAAAATGTTTTCTTCTTATTCTTCCCACTTTTTATCAACCTTTCGGTATTTAAAAATCTACACCATCACCAGCCTTATCTATTTACCATTTATATGTAAGTATTGGTTTCAATGATTAACTTCCTCTGCAAATGGGAAACCTCACATCAAGAAAAAGTTTAATTTGCACTGAAACAAAAAGTTTAGGACAATAAATGCTGCCGCTCAAGGTCAGGTACCATTTCTTAAGTTTCCATCTTGGTCCTTCTCACAGTGCTAGTTCAGAAATACCCAATGACAGGAAAAGGTTAGTTTTTACAACATTTGCTGGTGCTTTTACAAAGGTTTTGATCCATTAGTACCACAATGTTAAATAGAAAGCTCACTCATTTAAGAAAGAAAAATCAACCGTGTCCTGGAGGAGAAATGAAGGTCAAGAGAGTAAAAAAAAAAAATCTGACCAGGCTGACTAAGTCGGTGAGAAAGTAATCCTTCTCCAACCTCAAGTGGCAGTGAACTATCTCTGGAAGCTGTGAGCAAGAAGCTGAACAGTTCCACAGATCTGTCACTAGGATGCCAATTCACCGATTTGTGTAAATGCCTAAGAAATAAAGGGGACTTGGGTTTAGTTCTTTCAGCTTATCACTGGGATATTTAATTGCTCTATAGACAATGATGGGCTCTCTGATGTGGTTCTGATGAAAAGTTTACATGTTAAAAACACAGAGTCTGCTGCTTCCTTTCCCAGAGAAGGAAGGATGTGCAATATTCTCTTCCACAGGCTCTTTTGCTGGAACTCGGTGGCTGAATCACCCCAGCGAGACTCACCGGGCAAGTAAAGAATACTTCTACATTATCTCTTTGAAAGTGGAATGGGACACAACCTCTGCCAGCTATTTTTTTTTTTTTTTTTGTGAACTATTCTATTAATACCAATCAAATCGAGAAAATGATCAAATGAAATTGCATTTTGAGCATCATAAGCTGTGTAATGTCTATTCTGTTAAATTGGGGCCTATAATTGCTTCTCTACTGAAAAGATACAACAAAGACAGCAATCATGGCATGTCATTATCCCAGACTAGAAAACCGGCCTTTGCAGGGAGGACTTCAAAGGCTTGTGGTTCTCGAATTGCATTTGGCTGCTATTGTTGAAGCGCAGGCAATCTTGATTAGGTGTTTACACTGAGGTAAGGCGCAGAGCAGAGAGTCTGAGTGCCTGGGTCTAGAGCCATTAAAAAATTGTACATTATGTTCCTTGCTTTGAAGTGAGGGTTTGTAGGTAGGGAAGCAACTGAGATTGAGTACAGCTGAGCTAGACTGGGCTGCTACTTCTCTCTCAAAGAAACTCTTCAGGTTCTTAGAGAATCAGACCATGCCACAGAAAACAAATTTAATGCTTTACCAGGAGCTGTATGTGAATTAGTGATCTGCATAGACACACACTGAAACAAGCATCAGTAACCATATTAAGTTCTGCTGTCACTGGAGGTTTTGCCCCTTCTTCCCCTTTATATTCTGTTTTTACTATTGATCTTACATTTACATAAAGCGAGGAGCCCCACATTAATTTATTAGGTTCTTTGTTATGCTCATTCCTTGAAGGCACTGTATTGACAGTTAGCATGTGTCCAAATTAAATACGCCCAAGTGTCTGGTTTTTTAGTGTGGTATTTGCTTACCATCATTCCAACACATCCGTTATGTAATCCTTCTCTTTGGGCACTATCATCAGATTCGGGGAGCATTTCTTTATTAACCTGGCTAATGAGTGACGTCAAGTATTTATTTCTCTGCCCTATTTCTAAAATATTTTGCTACTTTTCAGTTTATGCCTGCCAATGTCGGCACTGCTGCCGCCCGTATTTATATGTGATCCGTAAAACAGGCAGAAGCACCGTGACACAAGCACTCTCCCATTTATCAGGCTGCCTCGCTGATTTTAGCACAGATGCTTTAATTCTTGAGGGATTAGGATTATTTAGTTATTTACTGACAACACACATGAAATATTTGGGCTGTGCTTTGGCCCCTTTCTCCATTCCTATAGAACATTCCTGATGTGTTTAGCCTGTGCATACTCAACAAGAATTTGATGACACTGAAATCATTGGTTATATTATTTTTTACATTCGTATTCAGTGTAAGATATTTGAGTTTTAAAACCCCTAAATTAATTGTCAGTCACCTGCTTAAAAACACTCCAATTCTTTCTCATGTCCCGAATCTTTACTGGTGTACAAGGCCAGGTGGCCTCGGGCTCCCCTCTACTCTCTTCTCTCCCCTGCTCCGCTGCCTCTCAGTTGTGCCCAAGGGCCACATGCACCACCATCTCTGGGTCTACACACACACCATTCTTCATTTGGAAATTTCCTTTACTTCACTTATTCTGAACCACACT